CTCCCAGAATTCCCCAGCCAGCATGCTGGCTGGGGAATTCTGGGAGTTGAAGTTCACACATTTTAAAGTTGCCAAGGTTGAGAAACACTGATTAGATGAGTTCCAGGTTCGGTTTTCTGCTTGTAGGGTGGATTTGAGCCAGTCACTTTGAAGCTGACCTGAAAGCCAGGACCACATCCACTGTTCTGAAATCCCTGATGGGACAAAAGAAACTGGAGATTTCTCCATGCCAAATTTCACATGAGGTGGGGAAATGTTCCTCGTTTTATGACAAGTAAAATATTCAGAAGTAGAAAATTCGTTGCATGAAATCCTCTGCCTTAACTATGCCACCGCTCCCAAGGTTATTTGATCTCTCCCTTTTCTTGCAGATAACTGAGTCACAGTTTGTTGCTAAACATTCAGTGTCTTGCAATTCTCTACTGATCCATTTGGAGCAAGAATAAATGTGTCATCATCAGTTCGGGCGTGGTGGTGGTTTGGCTTCAGTGTTTCTTTAAAATATTTCATTTTTTTCCCCACCACCTTGGTTACAGTTTACAATTTGGAATTTCATGAAGATATATTCATCCAGGCCTGTTGTCTGTAACTTCTTCAAAAGGATGGATTAAGCTGACTCTGTAAAGCAGTGTGAAACATTGCCTGCTAATTACTGAAGGTTAAATATAGAGGCTGTTTCCATAATTCATATATGTATTTGCCAGATTTATATTCTGCCTTTTGTTTAGGAGCTCAAGGGGGCAAACATAGTTTTCCCCATAACACCAACCCTGTGAGATAGAGTGAACTGAGAGAGAGTGAGTGGCCCAAAATATTTGTCCATCTTTGGTAGGATTTGGATTTTAGTTTTGTGCATGCTGTGGTGTGATTTGCTACAACATTGATATGTTGTAGTAATATTAGCCAAGTGCCCCAATTGGATGTAAAATGTAAATTAAAGTTCTGGCTTTGGTAGTTCGATAGATTATGGGACAGAGCTGGGAATGATGCAGATTTAAGGAACAGCTGGAGTTTGTATTTTAAAAATGGGGAATTAGTTCTTATTTGTTCTTTCCTTTTACCAGCCCTAAGGATGGCCCTCCGTGCAGCCAGAAACCATCAAAGTAACAAGCAGACTTTAATGTGAACATGTTTAACCTCTTCCTCCATTTCATTTTAAGATTAGCTAAATGTATATTTCATGGCTTCAATACCAGCCAGGGTTTCTCCCCCCACCTCCTTTCCTCTCACTTGATGGTTTACCTCTGAGAATTCACATGCTTACTCACTACTTTATTATGTTTCTTGCAGGCTTAATAAAAACACTGTCCAGGGGATGCGTTTTGACATTTTTCTTAAGGACAAAGGACTCCCTTTGCTTTCTATATGTGTTTTTAGAACTTCACCGTTTAGAATGACAGAGATAACCAGGACAAATCTTAGCAAGAGTTTTTTATTGCAGGCCATGGCCACGGTGATGCGGGTCTGAAGGGAAACAGCTAATAGTCTGCCATAGGATGACTGAATCTTTTTTTGCAGGCCTAGAGTTGGATGGATGTTATACGCAGTATCATCTTCAAGTCTGGCTATAAGCAGCCTATGCTACATCTAGGCAGAATGACTTGAAAGAAAATTGCCTTCCATATAACAGCATTTACACAATAAGATACCGTCTTCCTTGAACTGTGTTTGCCTGCAATTGTCACTTCTCATATTCTTCTTTAACCTTGAGTTAAAGTTTGAGTTAAAGTTTGAGTTTGAAGTTTGAGTTAAAGTTTGAGTTTAAAGTTAACGTTTGAGTTAAAGCTGAGTTAAAGTTTGAGTTAAAGGTTGGTAAAGGTTGGCAAAAGGTATCATCACTGCTTTGACTTCTTTCTGTGATGCCTAGACTAGGTTGACTGGCCCTAAAGTGTCTGGCCATGACCTTTTGAGTCCTACATAATTCTTCTAGACTTAGATCTTCAAGGCCAGGTCTAAAACCTGTAGACGTAGATGTCTGGGAGCCAAGCTTTAAGCAGGGGAAAGTGCTTAGGAAAATGTAGGGGTGTTCCCAGATGTAGAGAACATTGGAATGGGGATGTACAAGTTCTGTGCCAAAATGTAAGGCCCTGACCCCTTGTTTTCTTTCAGAGTGGGAGCCTGCCATCAGAGTTGGTGTGCTGGATTGTGGAGACGAGAAGAACTTTGAACGGTGTAAAGAGTATGGAATTCAGTATTATCCCACTTTCAGGGTAGGCACTTCCCAGCATGCTAGGAATTCTTGTTCGATTTGGCTCCATGTAGTTTGAAATAGGTGTAGGAGGGTGCTCATTTACTCCTCATGCTCTGCACCTCTTTGATAACCTCTCTTTTTTTTGGTCAGAGCTACTAGGTGGAGTCCATGTAGGTGCTGTGGCCCTAGGTGGAGTCCACTGGCCCTGTGGCCCAGTTTCAGCTGGCAAAAACTGTTGGGCCTCGCGGTTTTGTTTGTGCTTGTTGGCTCCGTTGACTGCCACTTTTTCCATTTGGATTTGTGTGGCATGCCAGGGACTGCGCTTCCCAAACCATGGTTTGATTTGATTCCACTTACAATATTGAATTGGAATTAATTACACTGAAATGATTTCTTTCTAATCGCAAATCATAATTTTCCTCTTCTGTTTCATTCAAACTACAGTTTGCTAACAACTTTTAGATGCTCAAAAGTTTGCTAACAACTTTTAGATGCTCAAAAGTTTGCTAACAACTTTTTAGATGCTCAAAAGTTGTTGTTTAGATGCTCAAAGCCTCATGCTATATTCCCTTTTTTCACTATGAGACCAAGATCATAAATATAGATACTTCACAGGAACTAGAACATAAAAAAAGAAGGCATCATTATTGAATACATGATATTTTGGAGGGTGAGCAGCTATAACAAATAATTCCTCTTTGAATATGATATATTTATTGGTCAGCCAAAGAAAAATGTGTTGCTTGGCATCCTCTTCCATACCAAGACCTCAATTAGCTAAAAAGGAAGATAAAATATTTCTGTGGAGATACTGGATACAAAAGTATGTTGTATATATTGAATAATGCCGTATGATAGATGCTGCTCTCAGTCAGGAATAAAAATTCTGGATTCAGGCACCAGTTGCCCCTTGAAGTTAGCCTGAAAGACTGTCAGTGAACAAGATAAAACACTACTACTTTGGATTATGAAGCAAGTCATTCATAATCATCTGCTGAAAAGTTCAGCAGGATATCCCGAACAGTAATATACTTGATAGATACATTTCTAGTTAAAAATGTATCTATCCTTTGCCAAATACAGCGCATTTAATATTTTAAAATAGAATTAGGTGGGCATGGGAAGCTATCTGAACGTCATACATTAGATTGGAGACCCATTATATATAAAAGGGAAAAAAATAGCCTATGCAGAAATTGAAGATGAAAACAGGGCACTTATCTATTGAATCTTTGGAAGGGCAGACAACCAAAGGTTGATCTGACAGGTGATGCGTCTTCCAGGGCAACAGCTGTTGATGAGAACTTCAGGAGAAGAGAGAAGGATAAGAAAGGTCAAAGTCAATTTCCTGAGACAACTTTGTGTTGCCATCACAGAGTCACAGGCTGTAAGGGTCAGAGCCTTGGGACCTTAGAAATTAAATAAAGGAAGCCCTTCCAGGCTCATGCAGTACCTGAGCAAGGTTTTCTCCCTTTCTGTGTTTTGCGTTCTGTTTCAACATAGAAATGAATCAGAGGATGTGGTTATCTGTGGGTTGGTTGAGAAATGATGTATCATGTCACTTAATGTCTAGTATTACAAGTCTCCAGAGTTTGTTTTTTAAACACGTTGGTGGTTAATTATAGACTGATCTGCCTTCCTGGGTTTTATTAATTTTGGCTGTTCTAAGCAAAAACATTTCTTTTTCCCCCATCCCCTCCAGTATTTCAGAGCTTTTACCAAGCAGTTTACGGTTGGAGAAGATCAGCATGGTAAGTTAACATATCACAAAATATGTTTTCTTTCTCATAGAACATCAGTCCTAGCAACATTTGAGACTCCTGTATCTTAATCCAAAAGAAAAATGTACTTAAGGCCATGAGGGACGTTGTGTGCAGTAGCAGCTCTAAACAACCAAGCCAGTAATGAAAAGATGATTGAAATAAGGTTACATGCTGCATCCTGGCAGGAACTTCCTGGGCATCTCTATCTTGGAATATTCTACTTGGAGAAGCTTTAAAGAGTCAGGTAGCTCTAAGTAATTCAGAGACCTGGTTCTTTGCTGCTGTGTGCTGCAAAGCCCCAGTTGACCAGAGGACATTTGCAGGAGGGATAAGTAGAGAGCCTTGCCAGGTGGCAAGAAAGGCTTTAGTTGGGAATACGTCCAAAGGTGCATTTGTTTTCTCTTTCCTTAGCGAGCTCAAGTCGGGATCCTCAGGCCATCCGCAAGACGATTATTGATTTTCTGCAGAACCATTCCCGAGAAGCAAAACCGCCGGCTTGTCCTGCTTTGGAATCAACCGCGTGAGTCCCTTGTGTGCATCTAAGCACTATGTGGGAAGGGCGCTAAAAAGAAGAGGTTCAGAACAATTAAAACTCCCTAAATGTTTGGCATCCTGTTCTGATTGCAATATGGTTGCCAGAGCTCCCACATGTAGAACAGAGCAGAGCAGTGTTGTGTAAAGTGTGGCCCTCAGTTCCCTGGGGGTCCCCCAAGACCCTCTCAGAGGTCTGCAAAATCAAAATTATCTGCCAGCCTATGTTGAAAAAGAATGCAATATTAAAATCCCATTGAACAATTGTGAGGAGTAGCGATGTCAGTGAATGTGTCAATTTTAATTTTTAATATGGTAAATACAGTATTGATAAGTATGGCCCATAGAAACCCAAGTTCTTTTGGGGTCCTCCACGTTTTTTACAAGTGGTAAGAGGTGTTGAGCGAAAGAAAGTTTAAGACACACTGGAGTAGAGGAACTGGGGATCTGCGAAGCTTCGTGGAAGGCCCATGAACGGGATTTCATTTGGTTTGGGGTGTTAAGAAAAGATCCTGTCCAGATGTTGGTCAGTTGGCTTTGCATTCTGCATATGAGAAGAGGGCTCACCTTCAAGGTGATGATGACCACAATAATCATAATGATTTATTCAATTTGTAAAACCATCTAATTGAAAGTGACTCAAGACAGCATATAGTCAGTTTAAACACATCGTAAAAAACACGGTGGGGCCACTACAATTACAACAGCACGTCATGGAATACCCACTGATTTCAAGATTTCTTTTGTTGTTTATTTGTTTATTACAATTACATATTTCCTGTTTTTCAAGATAATAATTCTCCCAAAGGAAGCTGTGCAAGCCCTTATGAATAAAAGCCCAATACATGTTATTTAGAAACATAGAAAGTTCTAGAGCAGTTCTGAAGGACAGTTGATGGTAATGGGCTGTGGGAAATCTATAGTGGTCACTTTCTGCCTTCTGCTCCCTCTT